AAATGATGCAAATACTAAAATTAAGAACGTTGAAGTTGAAAATTAATGAATATAGATAATGATGAAAACTTTAATACTACTACTATAATACCTGATAATAATGAAAACTTTGACACTACTACTATAATACCTACTATGCTCATGATACCTATAGCATCTACAGCATCTACTATGCTTACAATACCTATATTATCTATAGCATCCACTACACCCACTATGCTTATAACACCTGCTGTATTTACACCTATAGCATCTACTATACCTTTAGTACTTACTACATTTCCAGAATCTACTTCTACTACATCTTTAGTATCCACTACATCCATAGTACCTATTACATCTATAGTATCAGAACCTATATACACTGAACCTACATCTATTAAATCTATATATACTGAATCTATATATGTTGAACCTACATATGCTAAATCTACATATAACAAATCTACATATACTGAATCTATTATATTAGTAGTATTTACTTCATTCGTTTCATCTATAATAAGAAAAGATAAAAATTTTCGAAAAATTTTTAAACAATTAAAAACTCCTGTTAATGATGATGATATATCTAAAATTAGTAGTAATGAAGATGATACAAAAAGTGTTGCTAAGAAAAATAATACAACATCAAGCTTGGTTTTACTATATAATAAACCAAATCGTAATAAAGAATGTGCAACACATGCAAACCAAGCTGAAATATTATCATGGTATCATTATGCTGAAGGGCTTGAAAAACAAGTAAAAAAAAAAATATTAAATAATACTAGAATAACTACAAACAAGGCAATTAAAAGTCTATAGAGAACTTTGACCTGTCTTGTAAATGTTGATTTACAAACTTTACAAAAAAGAACACAGACTGTATATAATTTATTTAAAAAAATTAGAGTTGACAAAATTCAACGAATTAAAACATATAGTTTTTATTCAATTGCAAACCTTACTATACCTCAAATTAAAACAATCGAAGATTATTTTTTGTTACAACAGGATTGATATTGAAATAAATCTAATATTAATTTTTCAAATATAAAACCCAGATCTTTGTAATTTTTCAAATTAAACAGTTAGAAGTTAGTAGATTATTTTGGATACTGTGACAAAAAATAATATAATGATTGTAAATAAGCTTTTTGTAATCTTATAGTAACAGGTTACTCTAATTAGACTTTTATATTGTTATACTATATTTACATAATAGTATATAGCTAATTTAAGTCTAATAATATGTATATAAATAGGAATAGTAGCTAAAAAATACTTGGAAAAGTTTTTAGTTTTTCGAAATAAAAGATATTTTAGAGAACTAAAGTGTGTATCAGGTATACTTATTAGAAAGATACTTACTTGTAATGCTTATATTTCTTTATACTTTTAGTATCTTGTATACAATAATAAATAATTGGTTTCTTACTTTTAATATTTAGGCCGTTCAAAGTTAATTAGTTGTTTAATGTCAACATTTTGAGCTTAGGCTTGGGGTGAAGAAAAATTTAAACATATATACAACACAGAATATTTGGTTAAGTCTTATTGGTCAACCTTAATCATATGATTATTGAAGATTATCTTGCATTTGTATATTAAACAACTATTCAACTTTAAATGGCCTTATAATCAGATTACCTCGAATTTGTCATCTTAACTTAACATTAAAATAACAAGTTCAAAATAATTACATGACAAACTTATCAATATTGAGTTAAGATAATGTACTGATTGAAAAAAAAGATTTATAATCAAAGTAATCATTCTAAATTATTAGATGAGTACCTTAAATTTGTTATCTCGACTCAATGTCAATGTGACAAGTTCGAATTTGTCATCTTGACTTAACGTCGAAGAACAAATTCAAATTTATCACATGCCAAATTCGAATTTATCACATAACAAGTTCAAATTTATCATATAACAAGTTCGAATTTGTCTTTTGACATTAAGTTGAGATAACAAATTCAAATTTGTTACTCAACATTAAGTCAAAATAATAAATTCGAATTTGTCACATCGATGTAAATTGAGTTGGAGTAACAAATTTGAAATAATAACTTATTTAAGGATAGAGAGTATTAATTAAATCTAGCTGCTGCACCAATTTTGTTACAGATAATTCTTAATTTTGATTGGCTATGAGCAACAATCTCTTGATTTTAATAAGCTAAAAGCAGCGATTAATAATTTAGGCCCAAGTTACTTAAAATTTTACTAATGAAACCACAGCTGCATATTAAGTGAAAAATATTCCTAAGCTAATTTTACTATTGAAGGATCACTAAAGTCTTGTACTTTTGTAACTTTTAAAGTTTTAATTATAATTAGGGTTAGGGTTAGTTTATTGTTAAGATAAGAGCAAATATATAAGTAAAATTCTCTTTCTAACATTTTTTATTAATATACCAAGACAGGTTTAGACTGTCGTTTTTCATATTTTTTGATTTTTTTGATTTTTTAATTTCTTTAGACTGATCTGTATAAACAAAATCTCATAATTTTGATTGGTAATTTATATAAAAAAAGTCATATGGGTACAAGGCTTTAGTAGACCCTTATTTTGGAAATGAAAAAGTTAAAAAGTTAATTTCGGCCAAAAATTATATAAACAATTATATAATACGGGCCAAAATTTTGTAGATTACGACCGTTAGATAATCAAAATTGAGAATTATCTATAACAAAATTAGTGCAGCAGCTATATTTAATAGAGTACTATATGTCAATTACCTAATTTGTTTACTAGTAAAATTTTCTAGATAGTACAAAATTTTTCTAGATAGTACAATATAAATAATATAAAGATTTAATTGATTTGCTATTATAAAATGATCTATCATATGATTACTATAAAAAGTAATTTGTATACTCTTTATCCTTAAAATATTTAAAACTTGTAGTCTAAATTTATAATTTAATATAATAAAGTAAAAATTAAATGCAATATATGGGGTGAAGTCAATAGAAATAGGACAAATCTATCTAATAAATTTGTTACATTTCTATTGACTTCATCCTATATATATTATGCTTTAACTAATTCTTGCTTCAGATCACAGCTGACATACCTCAGATGCAGATCGTTAGGTGAGGTGTGTAGTCTATTGATTATCATCTAAGCTGCAATTTAACAAAAATAAAAGTAAAATAAATTGAATAAAAAACCTTCTATTTTAATTATTAAATATACAATATATTAATTGATATACATATCAATATATAAGAGTTATTTATTTTAAAAATTCCTGCTAATGAAAAACAACTCTTTCCAACGATCCTCTGGTTAACAACAACAAAAATTGAACTACAGCAAAACGTATAGAAGAGCAATGAAGTGGATACTAAAACTTGGTTCTATAAATAGGAGCAGCTTGTTGTCGACAAAGTCTAAGCATCTAGACGTGAAATACCGAGGAGCGGGCGTCAAAAGAATACGGACGGTTTTCTTTGGGGTCAA